TGCTAGGAGGACTGTGGGTCGGAGCCTGTGGGCATGAACCAGCCACCTCCTCTGCACCATCTAAGACAAGGCAGAGTATAGACAGGACATTCAGTTGGGTCAATAAGAAAAGCCTACTCTCTCCCCAATCCCGTGACAGTTGTTTTCCCCAGTGAAGTTCAGCTAACAGGACAGGCCAGTAAGCTCTAAGTCATGGTTCCACAATGAGATGGGAAAAAAACAAGGTATAAGAAGGCAGCCTATAGAAAAAAATAAATCAATAACTGGAGGGTGGGGGGAGCGGATATACCAGTAGAGGGGCAGGGGTCTAGGGTCATGACAGTCCTTTTCAGGTGTCCTTTAGGACAAGCTCACTCTACTTTCCCTGTGTTTTGAGCTTCAGACACTGGGATATCAGGCCTCCTGCTGGAGCCTCTGCCCAAGTACCTTCTTGAAGTGCTTGGGCCTCCCATGTCAAGCTATGCTGGATGGCTGAGGCCCCAAGTCCCTCCAGTACCTGTGTGAGTGCACTCAGAGGCCGCTGGGGCCCTGCCTGCCTCCAGCCCAATGGGGGACTTGCTGCTGGCTGGCTTCTCCTCAGGCAGTTGTGACTCTTGAGATTTCTGGGTCTGAATCAGCTCCGGCTGTGTTACTCTAATCAGCTTAAAACAGAACTCAAAGTTTAGAGGAGAAGGGGTAGAGCCAGGTTTCCACCTTAGACAGATAAAGGCCTTGACCTTACCCATTCAGTTATTTATTGGAAAATTAAAAGGCTAAGCCACAACTTCTTTTTAGAAGCTATTCCCTTCCCACACTAAGTCTTACAATCCCCACAGAGGAAGCAAAGGAAAGAAGTGGTTAGTTAGAGCCTCAATCTACAGGACACTGTGTTCTGGAATTAGAATCAGAGGCTAAAGTGTAGGACGACAGAAAACGTGGCCAGGCAGGAGGCCCACTTACCTGCTGCAGGGCCTCCAGGACTGTTTGTCGGTTCACCTTCAGTACATGTAGCCTGGCCTCATACTTGATCCTGCGGTCAGGCACCACTGCCATCAGGTTGAATCGAATGTCATGGTAGGGCTCCCTGCAGTCACAGTGGCAGCCATGAGAACAGTTCCCACGCAGGCCCTGCTGTCAGACTGAGGCAAGTGTCTTGGCCGAGCTCCCCAGAGTCACATCTGTACCTGTAGGTACAGGCCCCACTCCAACAGGCAGGCAGCAGCCAACGACATACACCGGAAACCTGAGCTATACCTTCCCATAACTATGTGAGGGGCCTTTCAGGAGGTGAGCCAGTATACCTGTGCCACTCAGGCCTCCTCCACAGCTTGCCCCTCCCTAGGCAGGAAAGAAGTTGGAAGCCCAAGACCCAGGCTTGCCAGATGTGGCCTTACAATCATATCATTAGGCTTCTCTTCCCCTCCCAAAAGGGATATAGCAGCAGAAGGAAACAAACTTGAGGGTTCTTACCCTGCAGTAGCAAGGCCAATTCGCTCCATAATGACCCTTCGGGCTTTATCTGTCCACTCCTCATCCTCTCCCCAGGGCCCTAGGGAAGACCAAGATGAGGAATCAGCAGGTGGGAAACCCTGAGATGGGGAGGCCCGGATTAAGAGATTAGTGTGGTTGAGCAGCTACAGGTTAGTCACATAAGCAGTGCAAGATGAAATCATGGCCAGAGTTAGATGTCCTTGGGACCCACCCATTTCATGCTACTGAGTATCAAGCACATAAAGGCCCTCAGACCCAGATAACTAGAAGAAAGCATGAGAAACCCAACAGGCCCCTTCCCCAGGGCGCCTACCATGATCAATAGGGTAGACTTTCAACCCATCCAATTCAAAGAGCCTCCCTGTGATAGGCACATAGCTGACAAAGTGGAATGCCTCCATGGTACGCACTGCACTGAGGCCATTCTGCTTCTCAGGAAGGTGACGTGGTTCTGGCCTGGAAAAGCACAAAGTCAGAGATATCGTCCACCACCCCTCTCCCACATCAGCAACTGCAGCTCTCACATACCTGGCATGACTATTATGTGCCTTGGCCAGCTCAGGGGCATTGCCAATTGCATATCCTTTGCTCTAAGAAAAAAACAAGACTACATGAGAACAGATTCTCAGGTGAGCCTCTGGGTAGGGGCAGAGTTCCAGAAAGCAGGCTTAGAGGCATTCCAGCAGAGATGAACTTTCCTGAAGGGCTAGTGGTGGCAGATGAGAGCTTAGTACCTCAAGAGATGGGCCATACTGGTTTTGCACAGTAATCAGTGTGAGGAGCAACACAGCCTTATAGCGAAAGTCATAACAGAGAAGGTTCTGACTTAGGTGACTTAAGTCTCTTCCTTTTCTACTTCTATCATCTCCTTTCTTAACAGTGAAACCTAAAATCAAGTATCTTCCACATTACTTATGAGTCAAATAGTTGTTAATTACCAGTTGAAAAAGAAATGAGCAAACAGTACCAAATATCATGTAGTGGCATTACCAATGGCTTGAGGATCAGCTGTGAGCCATGATGTAAGGCATGATTAAGCATACCTCAGGGCTGAAGCCTTTGGTGAAATCCTTCATTCGACTCAGGGTGGGCCCCAGATCCACATTGCTGCAATTCAGAAGCACGCTCAGCAAGGCATGAGTGGCACAAGAGTTGGGAATCAGCTGTAAATCAAACATAATCACTCACATATCCCTCATACACCCTTTACCCCAAGTGTCTCCAAGACCACATTTATTGAGAATGGGGACTGAAAAAAAAAAAAATGTCAGCATCCACAGTTTCCTGGGAAGCTTAGTCTTTAATTCATTTAATATGAAACTAAAATACCTTGATGTAAGGACACGGAGACTGTCCTAAGATACCACTCTACTCTAAAGGGTACCACTCTACTCTAAAGGGTACCACTCTACTCTAAAGGGGTACCACTCTACTCTAAAGGGTACCACTCTACTCTAAAGGGGTACCACTCTACTCTAAAGGGGTACCACTCTACTCTAAAGGGTACTACTCTACTCTAAAGGGGTACCACTCTACTCTAAAGGGGTACCACTCTACTCTAAAGGGGTACTACTCTACTCTAAAGGGGTACTACTCTACTCTAAAGGGGTACTACTCTACTCTAAAGGGGTACTCCCTTTAATGGAAAGGGGCTAGGTTCTGTCTTCCATGGGGCTTCTGCAACAATCATTCTTAGTACCAGTCTACCTCTTCTGCCTGCCTCCCCCACTGGCACTTTCCACGAAATACCAGAAACAAACAAAAACAAAAACTAACATCCTGCCTTTTAAACAAGCTCAGAACTCTGGCAGACCTGGTGGGCAAAGAACATGTTATTCACAATATCATCATCAATCACAGACGTATCATCCACCAACGTAGAAACCTTGCGGCGGGACCTTCGTTCTTCGATCCATTTGAACAGGAAGATAAATCCATATACAGGCCTAGAGAAGCAAGAGGCAGATGAGAGTCAGCATCCCCTTCCTCCCGATCCTCTGCACTGGAGCGCTCTTGCCCTGAGCCCCTCACTCTTACCAATACTGTATCCAACATGGCTCTGAGATCCCACAACCCAGAGGCCTATCACAGGCACTCAAGTGTGAGCCTGATGCTCTGAAACCCCACTCTGTCTCATTATGAAGTCTAGGTAAGAAAAGAAAGCAATCTGGAACTGCTGTCCTAGAATGGAGCAAGGTCGGAATGCAATAGAAGACAAAAAACCCTTTGATAAGGAGTAAACACCAACTCTTACTTGTGGATCTCAGCCTTGTGCCCTAATAAATGAGGGAAGCCCATCAACTCCTTGAACCAGCCCCTTCGTTTCTAGGAAATGAAAGCAGGCCTCTTGGTTCAGCACTGTTAGCAGGTCCTCTATGCCTCAATTCTACAGACCACCAAAACAAGAATCGGAGTTTAGGTACCTGGAAAGGGCCTTGCCACACCAACCAGTCAATACAGAACAACCTTGTTTAGTTTTGTTGAGACTCGGTCTCATCATGTAGCTTCGGTTGGCCTCAAACTCAAGAGATTTGCCTGCCTCTGCCTCCCAAGCACTGGGATTAAAGGCGCATACCACCACTCCTGGTCAACTTTTGTGTAGTGATTAAAAGCACAGCACACATGGTTACGTAATTAATGGATTGTACACTTACTAAAAAGGCACTGTGCAACCGGAGGCTTCCTGCTGCAAAACCAGAAATGGCAGATGAACTGCACTCCAAGGGTGCTTAGGGTTGAAAAGTGGCCTACAACTTTCTAAGGGGAAGTGCTGAGGAAAGACTGGGAAGAGAAAACAATAGTCCAAGGAGGGCACCCACGAGGAGTGACACTTTCTTATGTGATATTTTATACAACTTGAGTTTGCTAATACTGCCTCCCTTGAAGGGGTACTATTCCCCTGCCCTTTCTCAGCCCTCGGGAGGTAAGGAGCGTCCCAGCCACTCACCCCTGGCATTTACTCTGAAGGTCATAGATCTCCTCCACTTGCACCCCTTTGACACCTACGATCAGGAAAGGAGAGGTCGGCAGGGCAGCCCCAAGCTCTGCAGCGAGAACTCAAGGACCATTCCCCCCACCCCCAACACCACTACGAGGGCCCGACGATCGGGGGCTGTAGGGGGTGGGGCGCTTACCGAAATCTTCCACCAGGAGGGTGAAGAGGCCTGGGTGGGACGACAAGAAGGGGGGGGGGGATTGTCAGGCAGGCGCGTCCGGGGCCCATCCGGCCTCCCCAGCCCCCGGCTCGCCAGGGACCCTGCGTACCCGGGTCACTCTCCAGTTCCAGCCAGCCCTTATTCATCTTCCCGCGGAGCGGCCCCTCAGCGCCATGTCCAGGCCCTGCCAACCCCGAGCTGCCCCCACCGGGAGCGCCCACCGCCCTCGGGGCTTCTCAGCCCCCACACAGACAACGGGCCGGGCCGCGCCGCGTCACTCGCCGGCGCCGGTCTCGTGACGTCATCACCACGCGACGAGCCCAACCCGGGGCCTACCTTCCGCTTCCAGAACCACAGAGGCGGGCTCGCGCGCGCCGAGGCGAGGGTGCGCGCACGCACCGAGAGGGTGGGTCGGGCGCGCGGCCGTTAGCGGTCCTCGTCTTGACAACTGTCTGCCACGCTGAGGTTCCCGCGGGCCTTAGACCGCGTGACCCAGACCCCGTTAGCGCGCTCGCCTCCTTCGACGGCGCAGTCACCGCGCGGGGCGGCCGCCCGTGAAGTATCTACCACGTCTTGTGTCAACGAATAAAGCTCCGGGACAGCGGCGCCCTCGGCGACAGCTGGGTGGGCAGCCTGGGCTGGGAGCGGTGACCCTCAGCTTCCGTGAGAAGCGAGCGGCGGAAGCAGCCTCCACCCTGGCCCCGCACCAGCCGCCCGGCAGGCGAGACCTGAGCCTGGTCTGGCATGCGCGGAATGCTCCTTGAGCCCCTCTTCTGGCTGTTACCTTCGGGGGACGGTTGTGGCCACACTGACACGTATTTTCCAAATAAATCGTTTATTCTTGCGGCGGCGGGGCCGAACACGTTAATATATTTTTAATATTCTCAGCAAGCATTTACCCAACACTTTTATCCAGTGAAACAACTTGGTAAGCGTTTCGAGCGAGCATCCGCCGGGTTAAGAAGTCAGGCTGGGAGCAGCTTGTATTTGCCACGTCCGTCCTCAACTGTTCTGAAGATTGTCCCATCTTATAACTACTAGTGTGCACAGACTCCTCAAGTAACGTCGTGGTCCAGCGATGCAAAGAACTGAAGTCTCAAGGTTTATTTCTCTTCTAATGCGGTCGGGTTTAGCGCCAACCACCAGGAAGCGGTTAAAGTAGATCCCCCTAGGGACATGGCAAGGTTGGAGCCGGCTTCTCACTCAGCCTGTCCACGTGTAGTAAGAAAACAAACCGATGTCAGCTCCCCAACTGCATCTCCTGTGTTGGGAAAAGCTAGCCTCAAGTTTCGATGGCTTGTAAGCACTTCGCATTTTTGTAGAATAACTGGACGTTTCTGAAGAGATTCCTAGTCCCCAGCCTTGATCTCTTGGTACTGAAGTACAGTGTCTCCAGAGTGAACCTAATTCAGTGAGCTGTCTTAGGAAATGCTGTCCTCCTTTCCCTTACTAGACATAGCTTCTCATGGGGTGACTTTATTTTTGTCTCAGTTCACTTTTGGAGACTTTGTAATGGCCAGTGAAAACTGGATGACTTTGCAGTCTGCTTACCTTATTAGCATGAGTGGCAGTTTACTGAGCTTACATCTAGATAAGGGTAAGACAGGCAAAACCTCAATGGCTCTCTGAACCTGGTAAAAGGGATTAAGAGCCAAGCCGGCAGTCTTCATTGTTACTTCTTCGCTCCTAATAGATGGGGTCATGACTTTTAAGCAGCCAAACCTCTCGGATTCCTTTTGCTAGGACCTAACTGGGTAGAACAGCCACTCACACTTGAGTACAAAGGTGGCTTTTTCTTGAGTGTTGTCCCGTGTACTCAGCAGAAACAAAGAACCATTTGATTAGGCCAGTCAGTAGTTCCAACATCTTAAACTGCCTTGTGATAAAATTCTAACATAGTAGATGTTAGCTTCAAATCTCACCTAGACTCACTGGTCCTGACCTTGGCTATGATGGTTATCTCTCTGTGCCTCACTCAGTCTTCTCAACGTGAAAATGAAGATTATAATTGTGCCTACTGTGAAGTGCCTAAAACTGTTCTTGGCACAATTTAATCATTACTGATCCGTACTAGCATTAATTTTGGCTATATCTCTTTTATCAAATGAGTTGCGGAGTGAAGTGCACTGTTGCTTTGATCTTACAGAACTTGATAACCAAATAAACTAAATTACTAACCTTCCTTGTTTATATTTATAGCTGGAAAAGCCTGTGTTGTCTTCATAATAGTACAGAAGAATTCTAGATAGAAAGGAAAGACAGAAGCGAATGAAGACTATAAAAGAGAAGAAGGAACATCCAAGATTGAGGTAGAGTAGGGTGACCTAAAAGAGTTGGGGCAAATTCCAGTGGCCATTGGTACATGTTGCATTTTCTGTTCCCTTTGGCATATTCTCAGAGGCTAAGGTTAGACAGTGTCGAAGCATGAATCAGGCCCCTGGATATAGCCCTTCCTGTCTTCCCACTGGTGTCTCTAGTGTCTAAGTGACAGCTGTGGAAGTTTGCTGCTTGATAACTGTATGACCTAAGACAAATCACCTATGCCTCAATTTACTCATCTCAAAAATATGCATTATAGTAGTACTCCCTTTTAGCCTGGCAGTGGTGGCACATGCCTTTAATCCAAGCACTTGGGAGGCAGAGGCAGGTGAAACTCTTGAGTTTGAGGCCAGCCTCAAACTCAAATGGTCTACATAGTGAATTCCAGGATAGCCAGGGCTTTTCCCTTGCCTTGAAAAAAACAAAAAGAAATAGCATTCCCTTCTTAGAATGTTCTGCTGATTTATTGAACTAATTCATGATAAAGTACCCAAAAATAGTGCTTATCACTGGAAAACAGTCATCAACATCAGTGTCATTTTAGTGTGCTTTGGGAAGTTGGCAAAAGAAAATAAAAGTAGGCTTACTCCTGAACTCATTCAACCCAGGCAGAATAGGCACTGAGATGGTACTCGAATAATTTAGTGTATTTTACACTTTGAAAATAAAATATAAAAAGCTTCAGGGAATTTGGTTTTTAGTCAGACTATGAATGGCATTTTAAGGGAAATTCAGAAGGCTTGTCAGTAGTGTCCTCAACACGTTTACTTTTTTTTTCCTCTCTTATATAGAAAAACTGGCAGGACTAAGAAGGTAACCAAGAGAAAGCTATCTTCAGGTCCTGGTAAGAGAGAGAAGGTGGTATTGAGTTGCTGCTTCCAGCCATTAGCAGAGAAGGCCACTCCAGTGGAGCAGTAAACTTGCTGCTCTCATTGTCAACCCTACTTCTTTCCCAGACTCTCCAAGATTAAATCCTAAAGAATTTGGTGTCTGAAGTTTTAAAGTTTCGTATCTGAAGTTCAAGAAAGGATTAAAGCCAGTTGAGAAAAAAACAGTATGAAGCGGCTAATCACAGCCTACTCTGTCAGTGTGACCAAAGTATGTCAAGGCCTGATACCAAGAGTTAACCTTTATTCTGCCAAAATTACCCTTTTTCTAGTAAAGATGCTTCCTGATTACAATATTTTATTTTCTGTTTTGTTTTTACATTAAGGTGATGCAAAAGTGACATGCATTCAAAAGAAACTATACTTCAAATTTTGAATCTTGGTCTTTTCCCAAGCTAATGATACAATATTCTCTTACAGTGCTGAGCAGTGGCAGCAAGGCGTGGCTCCTAGTAAGCCACACAAGATTAATGAGAGACAACATTTGGAGTTTCTGTGCTGCTAAGCTATGGTGTTTGACAGGCTACATGTAGTGAATGCTTCCAACTTAGGATGTTTTCCTGTATGGAGACTGTATCTAGATAAAACCCCTTTATAAGTAAAGGGGCCTCTAGGCGCCATGCTGTTCTTAGATGGTTAGCCCCATTTTTTATTCTTAATGGTCAGCTTGAGCCATTCCTTTATTCTTAATCTTTACTCTTTCAGTTTGCCTGCTATGCCTTCAAGAACCTGGTGATCCTGAAAAACTAGGAGAGTTTCTTCAAAAAGACAATCTTTGTGTCCATTATTTCTGTCTTGTGAGTATACAGCCCTCTTTGCTTTGAATGTCTTAGAGCTTTTGCTATACAAACTGCTTTTATATCTAGCCTCAAATTTATAGTCATGTTTGTTTTTCCTTATAGTTTTTACTCTTTTAAAGTCTATTTTTTAAATAATAAATGACATGACCTAAAATCCTGACAGTATAAAGCGAGAACAATAAAAAAACCTCTTCCCAAAATCATATTCCTTTTCTTTCCCTTCCCCCCAGAAACAAATACTCATTTGGATTGTCCTTCCAGTTAATTTCCCCCAATATGCTTTTTAGTAACTATAATCTGAATACTATAAAATGCACCAATCTTAAGTATACAATTTGATGATTTTTAAAAAGATCTATTTTTATTTTATGTATTTTGTGTATATATATATCTGTGCACCATATTTGTGCAGTTCTCCTCAGAGGCCAGAAGAGGGCATTGGATCTCCTAGCACAAGAGTTACAGACAGCTGTGAGCCTCCATGGGGATATAACTAGGACTCAAACCTGGTCCTGACCAAGAGCGGCCAGTGCTCCACATAAATCATATGGATTATATTCTTTCTGTTAGGTCCCAACCCCCAAACGACAGTCTGGGCCCATCTCAGGCTGGACTCTGACCAGGTAAACAGGATTGCTACTTACAGCATTCCTCAGAAAACCTGTAAACCTTGTAAGGTGGGTTTCTGTTTGTCAAGAATAGCCATTACTTTCATATCTGCACCCTCAACAGCCACCTACCTCCAGAAAGGATGTCTAGTTACCTAATAACTCAAACAAGCCTCCAACTGATCAAAGCCCACGCTGGTTCCCAGCCTGTTCCAGCCAACTCACCTTCCTCTCACCAAAGCATAACTCCTTATAACTGTCCTCTGTCTATCACAGAGAGAGTCACACGGACCTTTCACATTCCCAACAAACATTTCTTTCCACACTTGCTTATATCTGGTGCAGAAACATGAGAAGAAACATTGGACCCCACCCTAAAGGACTCTGCCCCTTGTAACCAAACTGCAGATTTTTCTCTCCTGGGTGCAGATCATTTGCTGCTTCTAGCTCCTGTCACCCACCATCTTTGACTATAAACTTTAGAGTCTACCAGCCATTTCTCTCCTCTACTTTCTCTACTCACTCATCTCTCAGCTAAGTGTCCTCCCGGAGCTTCATCTGTCTCTGGCTCGTTGGAGCCTGCTACAAAAGTCATAGTGGTATGCCAGGCAAACCTCTTACACCTCCTGTGCTCCCCATCACTGTGCACAGGGGGCACCTGTCCACTGATCCCGGGCATGCCCCTGACAAGTCTTGATCCCTTGGGGATGCCCTCAGATTAAGACACTGCCCTATGGCACTAACCATTCCTATGCTATTGGAATCATCCCTCTGGTGAGATTGCTATCACAGCCCCTTTTCCTAAGTCTCTCCACTTCCTTCTTGCTCTGCTCCTGGAAATTCTTTACTGCCCACCTAAGATGTCTCCCCTCCTACTTGGTCTGTCTCACTCTCTCTAGGTTGCCTTTTGGAGCCTGAACTACCATGGGCTCTCATTAGATGTCAGCTCCTCTCTCCTGCCTCTAATGTCTTTCCCACCTTGGACTCAGAGATTCTGTTAAGTCTGGCTTACATATGGTGCTGAAGTAATTTTTCCCCCAGATTGCTCGAATATGGTAAAGTTATCTTTTTAACAGTTGGTGGATATTTGACTTGGTTGTGTTTGGTGAACTTTTGTGAATAAACCTCTAAGAACATTCACTTGCAAGTCTTTTTGTGACATGCATTCTTCCTTCTCTTGGGCAGATGCCTAGGAGAGAGAGTGCTGCTTCCATGTATGTAGACATGTATGTGAAGCTGCCAGGTCATCTTCCCAAACTTGTACCAGCTTACACACCTTATGAGAGTTACAGCTGATAACTTTTTACCAAAGCTTGTTGTTGTCAATCTTTTTCATTTCAGCCTTCCTACTCGATGTCACTGGCATTTTATTGTGTTCCTAATTTATACTACTTTGAGGAATAAAGATGCTGAATTTATCATGTGGGTTTTTTTTTTCTATTTTTAAATATCTCACGTATTTTATTAAATCAGTATGAATATTTTCTTTTGTTAAAAGAAACTGGATTCTGATCCAGACATGATAGCTCATGCCTTTAATCCCAAGATTGGGAGGCAGAGGCAGACAGATCTCTGTGAGTTCAAGGCCAGCCTGGTGCTCATTTCTGGTTCCAGGACAGCCAGGGCTATGTAGAGAGACCCTATCTCAAAAGAAGAAGGAAGAGGAGGAAGAGAAGAATAAAAGAAACTAGATTCTTTTGTCCTGCTAGATTGTAAAAATTGTTGATATATTCTAAATACAAATCTTTTTTGTACACATATCATTTCTAAGGATGTCTTTTGAGGAATTTTAAAAATTTTGATGTTGTATTTATCAGCTTTTCTTTTATGGTTAGAACTTTTTGTGTGTCCTAGGTAGTACTTAAGTACCATTGAATTACCTAGATGTCTTTGCCAAAATCAGTTGGCCATATAAATGTTTGTGGATCTGGATAATCTACCTATGCCATTAATCTACTGTGTCTATCCATACGCTAGCACTCCACTGTCTTAATTCTTGTGGGTTTACAGTGTCTTAAAATTAAATATGGTAAAATTTACAGCTTTTTAAAGAATGTTGAGTATCAATTCCTTTCAAATTGTATCCATAATGTTCTTCAGTCCTACTGAAAGTGTAGTATTTTGTAGCTTTTGTTAAATGTTTTTCTAAATATTTTGTTGCTGGATTATAGAAATGCAATTATTTTATATATTGACTTTGTATTCTACAGTTTTGTTAAATTTGGTAAACAGTTAACCAGTTCAAGCATTGTGCTTATTTATTCACTTGGTATACTCTGGATCTCTGTGTATATAGTCAGCGTCATTCATGAATTAAGGCAGTTCTACTTCTCTTTCGAATTTTGTTTGTTTTTAAGTGGGGTCTCATGTAGCCCAAGCTGGCCTTAAACTCATTCTGTAGCTTGAGGATGACCTTGAACTTCCTTTTTCTCTTTTGTGTGTATGGGGGGCAGGGTATGTGTGTATAGATTCATGTATGTGTGCATGTATGTTCAATTGTGTGCATACATGTGTGCATGTGGAGATGAGGTTGACATCAAGTGTCTTCCTCTGTTTCTCTCCACCTTGTTTTTGCAGACAGGATCCTGGAGCTCACCAATCTGGCGAGAATATCTGCCCATCATGCTCCAGGGATGCTTGTGTTTCTGCCTCCTTACTGCTGGGATCACAAGCACACATTGCTGTCCCCAGCACTGTCCATCTGTGATGGGGGTCTGAATTGGGTCCTCATGCTTCTGCAGCACGTGCTTTGCTGACTAAGCCATCTCCCCAGCCCTATCTCTAACTCTCCTGTGGTGGGATTACAGGCATTTGCCATCGTGTTCAGTTTGTTGTGTTTTTGCATTTTAGAATTGTATATATGTATGAGTATTTTGCTTACATGTGCATGTCTGGTACCTGAGGAGGTCAGAAGAGCAGGAACCCATAGAACTGGACTTTCAAAAGGGTGTGAGCCACCATATGGGTCCTGGGAACTGATCGCCTGTCTTCTGCAATAGTAACAGTGCTCTTAACTGCTGGACCATCTTTCCAGCTCCCATGCCCAGTTTTTAATGGGTGCGGGGCAAGGATTGAATCCAGGACCTCATAGGTGCTAGGCAAATACTCTACCAACTGAGCTATATCTCCAGGCCCCAGTTTTTGTTTTTCATTTCTTCTTGCCTTTGTACTGGCTAGGGCGAGGCCTTCAACCTGATGTTCAATAGAAGTAGTGCAAATAGTAATCTATCCTTTCTCCTAGCATTAGAGGGAAGCATCTAGTATTTCATCATTATAAATATATTAGCTGTAAACTTTTTTCATAGATATGTTTTTGTCAGATTGAAATTCTCTCACTCCTGGTATTCTGAGGATATCTTAAATGTACAAGTTTTGCAAATGTTTTGGTATTTACGGACGTGATTTTGATTTTTCTCTTTTTATAGTTATAGCAACTGCATTCTTGGTACAGGCCCTACTTGATCATGCTTTATTATTATTCTTTGAATAGGGGCCTGAATTCAGCTTAGTAATATTTAATTTTTTATATCTATCCTCATGAGAAAAATTGATATGTGATTTTCATTTCTTTAAGTCCTGCCAGGTGTTAGGGCTTGGCTGTTTGCAAGCCTTGGCTGATGCATTCATAAGCATATACATTTTAACAGAAAGTTAAACATGTACAACATTTTGTAGGGTTTTCTTTCCACCATATATTTTGGAGATCTCTCCATATAGAACATACAAACCTAGGTTTTTAAGTAGCTGATAGGTGTTCCTAAAATATTAAACTCTTGTTAAAGAGTTAAATACTCTAGTTAAAGAGTATTTAGAGCTAGATTATGGTCCACACTTTCAATCTCAGTATTTGGGGGGTAGAGGCAGATGATTATGAGTTCAAAGTCAAACTCTACTTCATAGTTCAGAGTCGGCCTGAGTTATTTAAGGCTGTCTTGAAAAATAAGGAGATATCAAAAAAGTTAAAAGGACATTGAAATTGTTTCTGTTCTTTATTATTTTTGATAAAAAATAGCTCATGTTCATTATGGAAAACATGACTAATACTTAAAAAGTATAAATAAAACAAAAAACACTCATTATGATAAAGCCTTGAGAGAGTGATGAAATATGTGTGAAATGTTTTGAGCATCACTGGGCGCCCACAGCTATAGTCCAAGCCATCTAACATTGTAGGCTCATCTCTATTAAAGTAAGATTAGCTGATAGACTTGGAAGGCTGAGGCAAGAGATCACAAATTCAAGACTAGCCTTGACTGCACAGAGACTGTCTCAAAATAAATATTGGGGTCAGAGAAATGGCACCATACTTAAGAGAACCCACTGCTCTTGCAGAGGGCCAGAGTTTGGTTCCCAGAATCCACGTGGCATTTCACAGTCATCTGTAGCTCCAGTTCTAGGGGGATCTGTCCACCTCTTCTGATCTTGGGTACTGCACACACATACACATGCAGGCAAACACTCATGTACATTTAAAAATCTTCTTAAAACAAGTTAAATAAGCCGGTTGTGGTGGTGCACACCTTTAATCCCAGCACTCAGGAGACAAAAGCAGGTGGATCTCTGTGAGTTCCAGGCCAGCCTGGTCTCTACAGAGAGTTCCAGGACATCCAGGGCTACACAGAGAAACCCTGTCTTAACAAGCAAATGATGATGATGATGATGATGATGATGATGATGATGATGATGTTAAATACATAACCTAAGCTCCCATTACACATTGTATAACCACTGCAAGAAGCCCATCATCCTAATACTTTTGAAGTACTAAGATGAGCAGAATGTCCCAATGAATTTAATAGAATATCACTTCTTTTTTCTTAAATTACCCATTCCAAAACCATCTTTGAACACTTTTAAAGAAACAAACAACCCTTTAAAGTATGCTTTTAAAAAATGCAACTTCTAATCTTCTATTAGTACAGAATGGCCATTATAAAGGAGACTTTAAAATCCCATTTACCTTCATGTAATACTCTGAGAAAAATATTCTAAAAAATCTTGTACTAAAGGGAAATAAAGGAAAAGGGGTGTGACTGGTGGGTTCTGTAGGCCCAAGTGTGAATGGCAGCTTTATAACTTTGCCATATGATTCCAGGCATGTCACTTGCCATGTTACACTTCAGTAGCCTCCTTTGTAACATAAAAGCCACATAGCTTCTGTGTCATATGTAGTCTTTATAAGCATGAAATGAATCAGTCTAGAAAAAATGTCTCCAGTGTTCACACAGTAGCAGGAGCAGCCCTTAGCAAATGAGGGACAGGATGGCACTACATAAAGGCACTGATCCAGAGGCTCTGTGGCCTTTAACAGGTTATGTTTCTCCATATTGGGTTGTCCAAAGTGTCAATAATTTAAAAAGTGCTGGAGTATCTAATACATGCCCATTATATCAGATTTAATGTATTCATTAAATACATAGTCCTATATACACAAATGAATTCCACCAAGCTCCATTTCTTAGTTTTCTTCCGTGGTCATTGTCAAGACACTGTACTATTTCACTGACAATCTTATTGACAGCCTGATTCTGCTGCTCCTTTAGATCTTATCTAGCAAGCTGCCTCAGAAGGGCCAATCCAACAGAGGCCTCCATGGATTTATGCCTGAAGACATCAAAAAGGAGGCAGCCCGGGCTTCTAAGAAGGTTAGAATTTCTTGAAATGGGGACCTTCAAGTAGGCCTTTCTCATGCATGTTTCAGAATCTCTCTCTCTCTGTCTCTCTGTCTCTGTCTCTGTCTCTCTCTCTCTCTCTGTGTGTGTGTGTGTGTGTGTGTGTGTGTGTGTGTGTGTGTGTGTGTGT